TTTTAACTATTTGATCCATATTTTACAATTGTCACCTAGGGGTGTACAACCATAAAATATGCTCAAATAAATTATCCACTCGGAGATCCACACCGGTACATAATGAATCCCTTCCTAGGGGTCGGTATCACCATGTGTTACCTGCGGACCAACAATGGAGGCCATGGGTCTTTTCTTCAAAAAACCCTCACCCACTCAATCTTTTGGAAAAATAAGGTTTTATGTTAAGAAATATGCATGAACAATTTTAATGAGCGGCACTCCCTATTCTACATGTCATGTTATCACATATATAGCAAATCATATTATATGCAATCATACAAAGCAATTAAGCTAGGCAACAAGCATAATAATAATAATAACCGTAATATTATGGTTCCATCCTAGAGAAAAGAAAAAATAAAGATTACTAAGAATAATCGAAACATATATCGATTCTTCATCTTGAATCTTTCCGGTTGTCATTGAATTCTTCATCACGATCAAATTTTGGTTATCATAAAATTATTTTTCATGTTTTTCTTGAAAAAATCTTAAAAAATTGCAAAATCATATACTGTCACGTTAGGTCCGGTCGACCGGTGACAGAGCAGTTATACTCAACCGGTCGCCCGCCTTACACTAACCGGTCGACCGGTGCCTGTGCGACAGTAACCCAGATTTTCAGAAATCAAAGCAGTTTTTCAATTTATTCAAAAAACACAAAATAATTTTATAAACCAAGAAAAATTAGATACCTACATATCCTTCATCTTCGAGATCCATCTTCAAGATCCTTGATAAATCTCCTCCAAGAATTTTTTACATAAAAATTCCTATACCGTTTTCCGGTTTACAAAATTTCTAATAAAGAAAATAAAATAAACCCTAACGGCGATGATAGGCCGCTTATCTAATTACATTGTAATTAACAAATTCCTATACAACCATTCTAAACTCTAAGGAACCATAACCGGTAAAAATTAAATAATAAATAATCATTGATAATTTATAAATAATAATCAATAATAATTATTTAATAACCATTCACCATATATTCATGATAACAACATAATATAGAAACCCTAGAGTGCCATCTCTCTAAAATATCAATTCAAGCATAAAAGAGATATTTTTAGATCACAAATCTATATACATAGCATAATCATGAACAAATAACCATGGCTCTGATACCAATTGTTAGAAAATTAATGGCATCGAGTGCGCAGCG